AGACCTCGCGGTTTGCGGTGTAACTTGGGACATGAAAAATGCAACATATTATGAAATTTTTTTTGGGATAGACTAGCAAATGGACAGTCGAATCACATAATAAATGGTAAGGAAATGACGCCATCTACTGTCACACTACAAAAGAGGACTGAAACATTTTAAAAACCTTTGGTTATTAATGATAGATCTTCTACTATACCTCTATAAAAATAAGTCGGATTTTCCTTCATGACGCTATAATTCCAGAACGCACGAACCGATATCCACGGTTTTGCATTCGTTGAAAATGTGTCGAGCTCCGTGAGGTTTATAGCAAAGAAAATTCAGGATTCCGGTGGCGAAACGGAGTTTGCCGGGTTTGCTAGTTGTACGATAAATTGCATTAGCACATAGTTACAGCTCTCTGTAAACAAAGTCTAGGATTTGATTTTACAAATGTGATAATTCGATCATCGTGATGATCCAGTTAAGAGGCCTGAAAAACTGTCCAATTAACATGTTTCAGGTGATTTTGCTTATGTTAGGTATATCTAATCGCTACTACCTTCTAAAGTTATGATGGTTCAAGTACAACTTAACTCGTTTTAGTTGGTTTAAACTAGATGTCTACCTGATCTTACTAGATTTTAGATAATAGTGGAAACTGTAGAAAAAGATTTGGATTTAATCAAGAATGATACTAAAGAAAAAGTACTTAGTTAATTTATAGGTGTGGTATATTTCACTTCAGGGTAATTGAAGATACATGTGACGATAGATATAAGCAATCTATTGAACCTAGGTTTTTCCTAACATAGACCCTGCTATGGTAACAGAAAATTGAATTGAAATCGCTCAAGCTCAAATGGAGAAAGAAGGTAAGGACCCGAGAGTCGTCAAGGCCCGAGTGAATAGACTGCGGGACGACGTGCTCCATCGTAGACCGCATCATCGTTTACCACCAGGCGAGATAGTGGTCAGACGTCAGCCCATCAAATATAAAAAATGGCTTAAATTTTTCACTGCACAAATATGGTCTTTGTGTCCCACTTCAGAGTCACAAGGCATGATTTTTAAAGCCACATACCTCATTATCATTTTCTAAAAAAAACAATGAATATTTCTTTGGCAATTATTAAAATAGTTCATTGTAAAAATCACATGACTTTCGCTTGTCATATGAGTTACATAGTTTTCCTCGTTTAGTGAATAGGACCATTATGTGGTAGTTATTATAATTAGGGGAACATAAATCGATTTTCTTGTACACACTAAATATTGTTACTGTTGTTATGAAGATAATTTGCAAACTAATAAATGCATAAGTTTTTATGTTTGGACGTGCTAATGAACCGTTTAATGAGTGGAACTAAATAAATGTATTTGGTGTTTTAAATTGGACTGTGAATGACTGCATGTTTCAGTTGCGAAGTGGTTAAAATCGTACAGAACACGAGGTCTTAAAATGAGACAGTTTTCAACAATAATCCTTCCTTACTAATATTATAAATCTGAAAGTGAGTTTGTTTGTTTGTTTGTTCCACCATCACGCCGTAACTACTCAAGCGATTGCTTTGAATTTTTGCAGACGTAAAGTTAGAAGTCCAGATTAAATAATAGGGTACTTTTTAACTCGGAAAAAAATTATATTCCCGAGGAAAAACAAAAGTATTGATATAGATGGCACTGTGTGTATTGGTATATGTCACATAGGCTACTTTTTATTTTTTTGTGACGCGAGCGAAGCCGCGGGTAAAAGCTAGTAAATAATAAAAGGCATCTTCGTAATATCTTCATTTTTGGAGATTGAAAGATCGTGTAAGTCGCAAATAAAAACGCAGTAATAGTTGTGGACTCCTGCACTCCAAAACATATAAGAGAAGTTGAAAATTTACTTTCAGCAAACGTGGTATACCCTTTTTCCGAGTAAGAAGCAGCCTTTTATTTACAAGAGGATAAAGATATCAATGATAAAACGAACTTTAATAACTTCGTCAGAGGGACATTATTCTCGTTTCATTATAATCCGCACTGTATAAAAATAATTATAAAATTGACATGGTAATATGCATAGTATATGTACTTTAAAAACCTCAATAATTACACCATAACAATAAAAGATCCGGTTCACCACTAACATTCAGAAAATAATTAACAAAAATATTGACAAAAGCCAGTTTTTGCAGTTACCAAAAAAATGTATAAAGGACCTAAAGAGTTGCGGATCAAAGGACCACATTATTGTGAGGACATAATTTTAGTCCTTGAGCAAAAAAGGGTTCAATAATGTTATGTTTACTTCAAAAGTTTTGTTTTTTCGAACTCAAAATCTTGGGTCAAGGAGACCTCAAGTATAAGTCGTCAAACTTTTTGGTCTTTTTGTAAGGGTTCATGGTTTGATAAAAAATACTTTTATTCATACTATGGATTGTGGTGCTGTTGGGCATATTAAACAGACTGTTGAGCAGGACTGCAGGAGGTCGCTGGGCCAATGATCGAGCAAAATGTTACTGATATTAATATCAAATAAGATGCTATCTACCTTCTTTCTCCCTTTGGTAACCCAAACTAACAGGAGGGTGTAAGTGATGTAATATTTTTTTACAATATTGTTTATGTTTAATAAGTTGCATAAAAATGTAAAATTAATTGACGACTATAAATTAATACGCACATAAAAGATTTTGGGACTCATTAAAAACAACATTAACACAAAATTATTTCGATTTCGAAATCGTCAAAACTCAAAAATACCGTACCAAGGACCGGTATGAATACAATTTCTTTTTTCGAAAATCAAAAAAGTGTAATAAAATGAAGTTTTTTATATTCTGGTTTTATGCTGTTCATGGCATAAGATAACTGCCCAACATTTTTTTTGGATTTTTTTATAACACAAGAACGTCTTTATGTGAACTTGTGAATGCGATCATCACTTTTAAGGGACCGGAAAATTTATTATAGAGCAGGATCATAACGTAGATAGAATTTCCAACATAACATAATCTTTTAATCCCCATAAGTCAGGCATAAGTGCACATGCCTATACAACGTAACGCTCACGTAAGTCATGAGACCCATATAGATGGTGAACCTATTGCCATACACCAGGCACCAATCCCGATTTCACTGACATCACACATGCGTATAGTTTGCAAAGCTTTGTCATAAAATCAATAATAGGTAGTATAATTTGATCATTTATTAAGGTTTTTTTTCTCTATACCTTGACACAAGTGACTAGGATACTGTTAATAAATACCTTATTTAGATTTTAGAGTCATTTGTGATCATCCTAAATGAGTGAGTGTTAATTTTGTGACGTTTGTGTTTAGACTACAAGTTATCAAAGACATTTTGAATACTCCTTTATCTAGACCAGCAAATACGTCATGATGGTATTGGAATTTTGATGTTAAATGTGATATTATAACCCTTTTTACTGCTTATTCGCAGATTTTAGAAGTATCTATTGTTTTTTGCCTTGTAGTCATGATTTTGACTTCGTAATATGGCTTAAAACCTGTCGACTTACGTCTTAGCTGCTTGAAAATCTACTAAACTTTATTTTTAGTAAAAATATCTAGCAAAATCTCATTTTCTACTGTTTTTAACTACGAATATCTAAAGACCTAGCCACATTCCTTACGAGTAAGTAGTAAAGATCAGCTGATAGGATCCATTCAATCTAGATGTTGTATGTCGTAGGCGAAACCGCAGGCGTACACTACTCAGACCCAATTGTCGATTTAACATACTTTAGAAAACATTATTGTAAGAAATATACATTTGAGTAATAAACTGCTATGCGTGGAAATTATGCCATCAGACCACTTTTTTAAGAGGGGAAAAATCATCGAATGACTGCTCCCGCCTGGGTGAGGCGGGAGGGAGTGTCAGACTCTTACTTACTAAAAACCACCCCGTTCCTTCTCCTGCACGTCGAACCAGAGCCCGGGTTACCCGTTAGGTTCTCCGCGACAAGCCATCAGACCACTAGGGCCGATACCCAAGTGGGGTTGCGAAGAACCGCAAGGGTTAATTTTTAGTCAGTAAGAGTCTGACACTGCCTCTCGCTTAACAGGCCAGGAGAACTCATTAGATGATTTTCCGTCCTCAAAAAAAAGTGTGTATATTATGGCGAACTCCTCTTACGTCTAGAGGAGGCTTAAAACCCGGTAGTCGGTTCTTACGGGAAGGTGATAATGATGAAAGGGATTTAGACGGTTAATAAAACATATTTTATGACTTTAGAAGAAAAAGTATAATAGGATCATTACTTCTTTTACGAGTGGTTATCTATTGTTCTGTTCTTGATTACAGAATTTGTGCCTGATCATTTCTTTTTCTAATATTATCAACTATTAACTAGTCCTCATCATTGAGGAGCTTTTTGAAGATTCAAATCGCAAGATTATAAACTTAACTTCATAAAAATAAGACATGAAAATTACTCATCTTTCCAACTTCTACGAAAAATGGTTTTAGAATATTTATTTTATCCAGAGATAATAAGTATCACGTGAGTAAAGTATACGTGTAATTGAAGCAAAAATTGAAATCAAATATTATTATTATCATCATCAGTGCATATTTAATTATAATTGGTAGGTACATGTACATTCGGTACATGATTAGATTAACAATACAAAATAAGTAAAAGCAAAATAGCTAGCGCTTTGTTTTTGAATGTTTATAAAAGTCAATATGCTGTTTAATATGTCCATTATGGTGTAGTAAGTCTAGGATCTTTTAATCGTGGGATCTTAATCGATTGAGAAATCAGAAAGGATAACTATTTAACACAGATATTATGAAGAACAAAGTTGAATATTTAAAAATTGTTAAAAAAATTGTGATGTTAAGCATCTTGTCTATTTAGAATAACTATTGTTAATGTTTAGATATTTAAACATCTTGATAAATACTTTCAAGGAGGCTGATTTTAAAAGTTCTTGATTGGCTTCAAATCAACACACAGAGAAGAAAATAATCAAATCTTCTATCATCATGTTACTCACCAAAGTGCTCAAGTAGTTGTGTCCGATTTCATCTTCGGAGGTCTCTCCCGACACCAGAGTCTGTCTTTTCCACTTCATCTCACCACTTTATCATCACCACATTTATAAAACTTCAAAATCGGAACTTTGCGCGCTACTTCGATACTGCGAAGAATTATTTTTGAGTGTGATTTACGAACGTTTACTCGGATTTACGCAAACAGATTTTTACGCGAAGTTGAATACGTTTTTATGGGCTTTTAGTCCGTTTGATCGGTGGCTACGTTTGTTGTGGAATATGAATGTTACTCGTATTTGTTTTATATTACGAGAATATGTGATAAGGCGTGAGTAAGCTTTCTGTTGACGTAGAGATTGACTATAATTAGGAAAAGTCTGTGATGTAACGTGACGTCATAATACAGATTTGTGTTAACTATTACCCTTGTAGGTTCACTTTTTATTGACTTTATTTTAGTTTGGAAGGGATGTTTGTACATGTAATAAGCTAATTTGAGACGTAAATGCATTCATTACGGCTCAATTTGCAAATAATAATGTCGTTTATTACATACGTATTTTATTAAATAAACATGATTACGTTGAAGGATGTAATTTTTTTTCTAAAAGTACTTATATGAAATTTTCCTATCACGCAAGTGTGATTAGGCTAAAATTAGTGTTTAAAGATGGATGATACAAGATGATATATTATTATGAGCGTAAACCTAATCAATCATTTGGAAATATCGAAAAACATGACCAAAATATCACTCAAAAATAATTTCCACGGTATCAAAAAAATAATCACACCACATTAAAGAAAATACACTTTTAAATATTAACGTAAGCTCACACGGTATCCAAAATATAAAACAAATAAAAAAAATCGTAACATGGACCACTGGTCAAAATGTAAACCTTACATTTTCGCGCAAAGAATTCGAAATCGGAATTTATTTCGAAAAAATTTACGGTAATTTTAGCGGCCGTCCGTCGCGTCCAGGTGGACAGAACTAATGAGATGCGATGCTCCTGCGCATCTGAAGCTGAAAACTAAGGCAACGTGTTGAGATGCGCGAGAGTCGACGATCTGTGATTTACGACGATAGCTTCACGACCGCTTAATATTGTTTGTAGATTACCTTTTATTTCCAAATGACATTGCTAACGACTTTATTATTGATTTTAACTAAATAACCAATTGTATTATGGATTTTTGTTGTTAGTTTAATTATTTGTGATTTTGTTGGTATTTATATTAATATTGAAATGGAGTTAATTGGTAAAATATGTAATTAATTTATGTACTTTCAAATAATATTAACAATAATTATTACAAAAAGACAGATTTTCAAGTTAAAACTTTTTGATGAATTGATAACTAGGGTGAACGCATCTAACTTCGTGACAAAGGCGTTTGAGTAATAAAATACCAATAAATTATTAATTAATTTAATTCAGTCTCCGCATGAGTTTTAATCAGTCTTTTATGAGGAACAAATAATCAGATTTTTTTCTAGAAACCTAAGAGTTCTACCAAATTTACTAAACCGAATTATTAGGCGAGTCACAGAATTAGATGAGTTCACTATACTTATGTCTTGTCTACGTATGTGTCGTGTTGTAGGTAATAAACGGTTTCTTTAATCTTTCATTCAGATGAATAGCATAAATTACCATGACCTGGGTTAATATTCAAATGTGGGCCTTACGTTTTATGTAAATTAGGTATGTTTATAAATAATTTTTATTTTATTATTTATTTATTTACACTTTATTGTACACCATAAAAATATCCAAGGAAAAATAAACATAAAAAGAATGTGTACAATGAGCGGTCTTATCGTAGTATGCAATTTCTTAGACAACCTTTGGATGGAGCCAGTAAATAGGAGTTGGGAAAAAGGGGGTCGTCTAAATATTTTCTATGTAACCAAACAGGTTCATAAGTTTATTATTTACTTTTGTTCTATATATAAAGACCAATTTAAAACGAGGTTATGTAGTCATTACCTAGTTAGAAAAATCTTCAGCCAATCTGTCGACTAGGGACAACTTGATCAATCAAAAATAATAATAGATTCTAAAGGGATTAAATTCATATTTTTGTGTTTAATAGATTTAAACCTTTAAGGCTAAGGACTTATGGCTTGATCTCCCACAACGACCGCGGTGGCGGAATGGAGGCGGAATTTTCAAAACTCAAGAGACCACAGTTGTCTGTAATCCTGCAGCTACCACGGTTGCGACTATCGCCCGCCACCTTGGCGGTTGATTATCGCAAGATGGGCGGGCGGTAAAACAATCAGTTGAGTTCCAGACCAGCCGTCCCATTGCGATCTCCCGCCTACCGATCGCAGAACGCGCGGGTGCTAGCCGCCGCGGCTGCAAGATCGCGGCAGCGCCCGCCGGCGCAGCGCAAGCGTGAAAATTGCTTTGATTTCTTACATAGGTGCATATCTGTATTCTACAAAGGGAGCGGGCCCGCAACCGCGGTGGGTGCGGTAGAAAATCGCGCCGTGTGTCCCTAGCCTTAGAGTAAAATTTAGTTTGTCTTAATGTTGAAATTCTTAATCCATCGAAAAATAATAACATATAAAAATAATTACCTATACCATCACAAAGTCACTCGGACTTTGTAAGAGTCTGATACTCCCTCTCGCCTTACCCGGGCGGGAGAAGTCATTCGATAATTTTCCCCCCTTACAAAAAAAACCATTAAGTACTGACTAAAAACCACTCCGTTCATAGTCCTGCCCTTCGAGCCGGAGCCCTGGCAACCCGTTAAGTCTTCTACGGCTAGACATAGGAACTTAAGTCATGTAAGTCACTCTATATTAAATCTAAAAGTTCAATAATTTTGCAACAATTAACTCCATCTATGATCGCACCCTTACAAGTAACTAGTAACTACAGCTACCTCACAAATTACTAGAATTTGCAGTAACACTTAGTGCGTCCTCCGACATCGATAACAAATGCCGTTTATCGATATTCCCAACTCTAATAGCTCGATAATTAACGCGTAATGGCGAGAGTGAATTCACGTGATTTTCGCGTACAGTTGAGTCAAGTTGCTATGAGCTAGTTATCTTTTATGGTTATGTTAATTGATGATAAAAGATATTGGAGTTATTGGTTTGATTCCTGCATCGAACAAAGTCTAAAAGTATCAGCAGGAAGGGTCTTCAATAGCTGTGCCTATTAATATGTCACACCAATTATCCCCGAAAGGATAGGCAGAGGTGCACATTATAGCACTTAATGCCACTGTACAATGTAACACCAAATTTTCACTATTTATGTTATGAGTCCCATGTAATAGAGGGCGAGCCTATTGCCATTATACTGGGCAAAATTCCAGACTCCGTTCTACTACTGAGAATGTTTTTTTTTAACCCACTAATGATTTGCCCGTTAGTCGCACTTGCGACCATTCGGCCAACGAAGAAATCTTCTAGAAACATTATACTGCACTACACCATATTTTCGCTTCGTTGTAATCGAGTAAAAAAGTAAGTTATTTACTTTTTTTACTATTTTTTCATATTTAGGGAATTATTATTAGTGGTTTTTTGGCACAGAATCAATTCAGAGGTACCTACGATATCAGACATGCTTGGCCTATTATACAATCTTGCAAAAACCGCCGGAAAATGGACAACACGGGTTTAATACATTTACTTGCATAATTATCTCCTAGGAAAAAAGCGATGTAACGTGTGATGAGTCAAGTGCCTATGTGCCAACCCCTATTTTATGGTAAAGCTAAAGAGAACAAAAAATGGGTTTTCTAATAGATGAGACAGTATTCATTTTACCACTAAGACTACTGAATGACACATACGGTATCATGGGGTGAATAGAATTCGAGGGGTAAATAGATACTTGACTGCACGGTTGGCTGGGTAACTGGCTGCCACGCAACGTGTGGCGGTTTCGATTCCCGCACGACTCTTTGTCTGATCCACAGATTGTTGTTCCGGGTCTGGGTGTCTTGTGTATGTGAACTTGTATGTTTGTAAACGCACCCACGACACAGGAGGAAATGCTAGAGTGGAGCAACGTTCTTAAAATAAAATAAATACTATGAAAACATTTCTCATTAACCCCTCTTGTGTCACCATTCACCTTGTTTCACCCGGTACAGTTGTACCTACTACAGGTGATCGAGAATTTCGGCAATTCAATAATGAAAAACAATTTGTCCGACCTTACGCCGAAATCGAGCCTACTTACCTATTTTCCCAATGAGGGACTCAATAAAAGTCGTTTAGGATTTCCTCACTTAATTAAATGAAAGCGAAAGTCCAGCAAAAACAATTTTAACAATTATTTCCGCTGAATTATAAAGAAAAAAGATAAACAAAACCAATGGCGACCATTAAGGTATTGTTTTGTCATAAAATTAACGATTAATCTTATTGTCGATAGCTATTGTGTCTTCTAGTATCGGTTTCCTTATTTATCGAATTGGTTCATACAAGGAAATATTGTTAGGTAACAAAGTGTTTAATTTTGTTTAATGACAAGATGTTAACGCAATTTCATATTCTTTTGTTTCCTTTCCCGAGGGAATTTAGGGAAAACACAAATCGGAAAACCTTATACGATCTCAAATTATAATAGTTTAGAGAGCCTCAAAGAGCTAGTTTTCTAGTAGTCGCTTTAGCGCTAAATTTTGTAAACAGGTTTAAGAAAAAATGTGGATCACACTTAACAAGCTGCGAAGGGAAGTTTTTTATGTGATAAAAGCAATTGACAGTGTGAATCATTTGATTGTAGACGATCAGTACTGACCATGGAAAGCCACCAGAGAAGTTATTATTAGTTACAAGCGTTGCCGGTGTTCAGATAAAACCGTAAGAAGTTTGATTAACACTGATCCAACCTGGTGCCCCCCGATGGTGCTGATGGTGGATTGTGGTAATCACTGGACTGGTTTTAGTGAGGTAAAAACTCCCCGTTTCCAAGTCTTTTTTCCCCTTAAGCTAGATACCTTTTAAAGATCCCTTCACTACAAAATAAGGTACTGTAAATATTCTCCAAAGGACTGACAACGCGATCTTTTCCCGCGCACGTCGTGGTGGCGGAAT